ACACACACACACACACACACGGAGCAGTGGGCAGCCTTCCACCCCAAGCGGTGCCCGGGGAGCAGTTGGGGGTTCAGTGCCTTGCTCAAGGGTCTCACCTCAGTTGTGGTATTAATGGTGGAATAGAGCGCTGTACAACAACCCTCTTACCTCCAATCCCTGCCGGGTACCAAGACTCGAACCCGTGACCTTTGAGTTACAATTCTGACTCTCTAACCATTTGGCCATGACTGCCACCTACTTGTTCTCCAGTAGGAGAGAACAAGTCAGAATGTGAGTTCATGTAAGGATGAGAGGCTATTCAATGTGGAAGGGACGTGGTGAAGTGAAAAACTTACCTTAGAAAAAAAAAACTTTCACCGATATCTGTGGACTGGAGAAGCGCATGTACTTCAAATTTCCCACGATCGAAGAGGACGCTAATACGCATGTGCAAAGCAAATATCACAGATCAGACTTGTTGCACACGCAAGTTATTTAAAGTGTTTCAAATGTACCCCTGTACCAACTGTACTACACTGTTTTTCACTTTACTAGACGTTAATTGATGAACTGGAGTTGTGTGGATTATTGTGATGTTTTTATCACCTGTTGGATGCTCATTCTGACGGCACCCATTCACTGCACACACAGGATCTACTGGCGATCAAGTTATGTAATGCTGACTTCCAAATCTGTTCCAATGAAGAAACAAAATCATCAACATCTTGGATGGCATGAAGATAAGGACATTTTCATCAAATTTTCATTTTCTGGTTAACTAATCCTTTAACAAATCGAAATTGTACATAGGTGATTGCTCCTTTGTAGGCTACAATGTTTTGCACTGTTGTTCATATGCTATATTGGCCATATTCCTTTCTAAGGTTTACAGCAATAGTACTCTCTACAGAAATGTGCTTTATGATTTATATATAAATATATTATTTATATATTGTACATTTTTATTATTTGATTACATATTATTTAGTTAGTTTATATAGTAATCTGTACTGCTTGATTACAGCTCTTCCCTTTCATGAAAAACATACATTCAGTGAAGCAGCCTATGTTTAAACTTATGACTGCTTGCATAACTCCGAAGAGATGCGAATAGTACATAATTTTTTTAAGTACATACACTTCTGGGATTGATTGCAGTGACAAGATATTTTATGTGAATATCCAACAGATGGCGTTGAAGCTTTCGAAAATGTGTGCTCCTTAAATGTGTCCCCCGAAACATAAACAATTCAATTAATCGATCAGTGGTCCCCATGAGCTCTGAGGACAAATGCTTTATAAACATGTAAGCATATTGAAGATTGCATTGAAGATGCATTTTTCTTTTCTGTAGAGTATGAGTACACACACACAGTGGAAAATATCGTGAGATCACTGGTGAACTTACATCGCCCTGTATCCTGACTTTCTGCTGGATTGTGCGTTGTCCTGTTTTTAGCTTGGCACAATTAATGTTTGTTATTTTTTCCCCGACATAGCTTTCGATCAACAAACCACTGATCGGACAGTGATGGATTCCCTGAACTTTGAGTCCGAGATGGAGGCGGATGGACAGGGCAGTTATTCACTGTTTCCAGCGCTGGACAGCACGAGCAAGCAGCCTGACTGGAGCCGCTGAGAGTCTGGACGCGTGAGTTTATGAATAATCCCCGAATTCATTTAGGCACAGGCGCCAGAAAAGCTGTTATTACTGCATGGAAATACCCAACGGAA